CAGCTGCCTCTGAAATCAAAAGTGCAAGTGGGCAGTATTGACAGGCCAGCTTGTGCAATTCTGTGTAAGAAGCCTTGCGTCCTAGTGTTCTCCATTCTCTGTGGATGATTTAAAAGTGTATCAAGTTGGTTCTTGTACATTTCACGTGCAAATTTGGCAGAGCTCAGATAAAAGCACACTATTTTGGAGTGGGAAGGATGTGGATCTGAGAAAGAGTAGTCTTATCTGACTTAGAAGAACGAGGACAGTAGAAAGACAGAACTAGGATATGGAGATCCTTGACTTTCTCTCTAAGGATTTCATGTTGCCTCTCTGTTTTAACTTGAGGCCTTATGGCTACAAAACATGATGTGCAGCCAACCAAGGAGGCATTCATTATCTCATGTTCTTCTTTCTTACAAAGATTTAGACTTTGTGACTATTTGTCTAGTGTCTGTAATACAGCAGGGCTGCAATGCTCCACATTACATTTCAAGAGTCCCCAGATTATATTTTTATTTTTTGGTATCCTGAAGAGTTTTGAATGTCTGTCAGCGGCTAAGGAGAATGTTCAGCAAATATATCCTAAAGAATCTGGCTACTGATAGGATATACAGTGTGGTTCTGGGGAACTAGCTGAATGGGAAGAGTGCTGTTCTGTACTTGTGGGGACCTGCGTTTAAATCCCAAGCACACATGTAAAATAGTAGACATGGCTGAATGTGTCTGTAACCCCCTACACTAGGGAGCTGGGGAGTCAAAAAGACAGATTCCTAGAATTCATTGGTCAGCCAGCCAAACCAGAATATTTCAGTGAGTGACCCTGGACTTAAGATAATAATATAAAGAATGATAATAGTAAACACACACGATATATATTAAAATTAAGAAAAAAAAAACATAATATGGGTTTAAGCATCTTTAAAATCTTGATTTTTCTCCTCCTCTTCACTCTTCCTCATACAAGCAGCCCATGTCCACAGAGCAGACACAGCCTCAGCCTTATGTGCCTTTCTTACCATGAGGGGAAAAGGTGAACAACTGTGTAGAAAAGTAAATGAAATTATCAGAGATGCGCCATATAGCATGAAGGGTAGAAAGGGCTGGAAAGTAGGCTTCAGAAAGGGTGGTTGGAAGAGGATGTGCCATTTGGATATTTAATCCAAAACATAAACTTTATAAAGAAAATGGTTAAAGGGGAAGAAGTATGAATGGTCAGGTACTGAGCTGAGTTTGCCTGTGTTTAAGGACTGTCAATGAGACATGAATGCCTAGGACACAGAGACGTTGGGCTACATGGGAAGAAATTATGGGCCAAAAGAGGAATAGAGGATATGATTCCAGAACCCATGAAAAACTGTTGGGGAGGGGTGGGATTTAGCAGAAGAATAATGAAATAAAATTCATACAGACGTACATTGAATTAGAGAAATGGATGGATGAATTAAAACCAAAGAATGGATGCACAGGTTATGTGAATTTGAGAACTGTAAATGGCTTTTTGATTTGAAAGGATTAGAGTTGGGCAAAGGTTGCTGAGTTTGATTGGGAGTCTTCTGTCCTGATAGTGTATACAGAGTATAGTAAACATACTTCATATTTTTTCAAGATTGCTGGTTTCTTGGAATTGGGGCCAGGAGAGCCTCATGGTCTGAATATGTCCTTGTCCAGTTTTACCAGAAATGGTGATGTAGAAGATAACCTCATTCCATCCAGGTCAGAACCTAACATGGCAGTCATAAGACATGTTGCCCTCACTCTTGTGAAGGTCCCTGGGAACTGCTTCTTTTTGTTCATCCTGTGCTTACCCAGCTCTGAGGACATTGGGTATCTATGTGCATGGCATGTTTGCTGAAGAACTGCTCAAGTCCCCATGTTCCCTAATAACCTTGTGTCTAAATTGTCCTGTCACACAAGGGCGTGTTCAGAAATTAGCATTTGAAAAGAAGCTTCCTTGCTCTCTGTTAGAGCTGACATGGTCCCTTTTCGTTGGTGGAAATGAAATTTATTAATCATCATAAAACCATGGCATTCTGAAGGTAGAGGTCACCCTGAGGAAACAAGAGCCTTCTTATTTGGGAGGAACCATTTGGGGCTGCTGTATTTTCCTCTGTCTTGGAAGAGAGTTTTGCCAAAATGTTTCCTTGGATTCTTTGCAAAGGTTGAAGCTATGCCCAGTATTAGAATACTAAAATAATTAGAGAGGACTAAAAGGTTGAAGCTGTGCTTTCATTCAGTTCATTCACAGGTCTCATGACAAGTGGACTCTTATGTATATGTGCACACATGTGCACACAAGAGCCTGTGTAAAGGAGGCCAGAGGACAACCTCAGGTGTTCGTCCCCAGGATATTACACACTTATTTTGTTTTTTCATGATTTTTTTTTTTTTACTGACCTGGAACTTGTCAAGTAATTTAAGCTGGCTGGCCAGGGACCCACCAGAATCTATCTCTTCAGTGCCATCATACCTACCATTTTTTAAAACATGGTTTTGGGAGCTCTAACTCAGGTCCTCATATTTGCAAAACAAGCCCTTGAACAACTCAGCTATTTCCCCAGCCCGGAGTGGACATTATTGCCCCAGTAAATCTATTCTCAAAATTAAAAACAAATTGTCCTAAACTCCCATCTTCACACTCCCTTTGCAAAACTCTGTGAGCTGCTGCTTCACATACTGCCCTGGGATTCCTCTGCATTTCTTCTGTTAAAGTAACCAAAGTTGCCAGGTGAAATGTTAACAAACAACCGAAATCGATAGAGTAAAACCAAATGCCATTGTCATGTTAGCATATCCTGATGCCTTGACCTTGCATCTACTACTCCTTGCAGGAAGTGGGCTCTCTGATCAAACTTGTATTTCTAATGAGTAAAGAGACACAAAGGTGTTTGAGGAAAAGAAAAGGGAACACAATCTGTCCACTTGTTAATTTCAGAGGAAAGTGTGCATCTGAACAGGATTCATTGCAGCAGCACTGCTGAGGCTCAGCGAGCCCGGGCTGGGTGCTGGAGATTAGCCTAGGAGATTTCAGCTCCTTGCCATTGGAAACAACTGGAAGGATGCAGGTGTTGGAGAGGGTCCACGGGATGTTCCAGGAGAAGTCAGATTCATCTGTTGTTTTGTCCATCTGGAGTCTGAGACTCAAAACGTCCTTCATTCAGTTTACCTCCCCATGCTCTACTGTGTGAACCAAGTCAACCTACTGGATATATTCTCATTTGGAAAGCAGGAAGGCAAGAACTGGTGCCTTAACCATCTACTACTAGACTTGCCACTAGACCTGAATGAGTCCTGGCACTGTGTCTTGGGTCAACTTCTGCTTTTAATAGACTCTGAGAAACATGATTAGAAGGAGAATATGGGAAAAAAAAAAGAATGGAATTAAGTGCAATCAGCTAGCATTTCAAGGGCACAGCAATGAGTTTCGTCTGGTTGATAGTATAAATAAATCCATTCATTCTAAAAAAAAAAAGTCGAAGTCAAAAGCCATTGAAAATGCAGAGATACCAATATGTGGGGCTGGGACATCCTATTTCTTACATCCTCCAGTTGCTGTAAGCATTGTTTGCTAAGATAGTTTAGCCATGCCCACCCAAGCTCTAGCGCCTGGCTTTCTCCTAAAGGATTCTATTTCAACTGAGTGCCTAATCTCCCACCTAACAGAAAAGTCTTCAACTGCCATTTGTATTGCTTGTGCATTAAATAGCATACTGACTTGCCTTTTGGGGAAGATCGGGTTTATCATGCAACCAACAGAATCAGAGCAAAGCCAATGTCCAGCTCACCATTCCCTGCTCCCCTCTTTTTTCTTGTTATGCCTGCCTCTTTCTCCTTCAGAGAGTATCCTCTCCGTAAATCACTTGTGTTAGAGTCTCCAAGTTAGACTTGCCTTCCAGGAATCCTTTTCTAAGTTTGCAGTTGTGCATTGATCAGTATCAAAATCTCACTGATCAAAGCATCTCTGGAAAGGTATCTGGAGATGGGTGTCAAACAAACAAGGACATGTGGTATTATGGATCAACTGTGCACATTGCCTGGGGAGGATCAAAGGTCTGCTCCAGTTCCATCTGCCATGTAATCTACAACCCATGAAGTAAACTAGAAAGTTACTGGACAACCAATACACTTGGTTTCCACCCCTTGTTCATTTTCATTCCAATGCCAGCCCTTTACAGCACAGTAGGTGAGGAAGAAAGACAGTAAAGATAGAAGAAACAACAAAAGTTCAGGAAGCAGGACTAAAACACACTGCTCCAAATGTTCCTATCTTAAAAACTGGGCCAAGGAGACATGAGCTGCTTCGATGCTAAGATCAAAGCCAAACCAGGCTATGATTTCTGAGTGGGACTCAGGGGCCCACAGACCCTTCACAGTTTCTCATCTAAGTACAGCTGTTCCTTGGCAATCTGAAGCATCAGACAGTAGTTGCGCAGGCAGATCACTGAACCCTTTCTGATGTGCCTGAGCTCATTTGCTCGGAGACAGTCAAATCAGATGCAAAGACATCAACTCATTTCCTCTTCAGCATTAAATTCTGTCTAGGAAACTGGAATTCTCAAGACTAATCTCTCTAGTGGTTGCTTCCTGCCTGCCTCAAACTCTGAAGTAGCTACACCACAGTGAGAGAGAATGTGAGTGTGTGTGTGCATGTGTGTGTGCACACACATGCACAGTTACATGCCACATCTATGTAGCGGTCCGCTGAGATTTGAACAAGGTTTTCATGGTTTGTGTAAATGTAATTTTGGATGTTTCAAAGACAAAATCATGTAACAATGCACTTCTCAGAATGGGTCATCATCATTAAATTGCACACGACTGTGTATGGAATACATCTATATGACCAGCTGTGTTAAATGGACCACCACGCTCCATCTGAGCTTCTCAGTCTCCTGAGGTGAAAGGGGATGCTCATGTTTTAGGATGAGGACAGCCCCTCCATGTAGTGTTGGTATTCTGTATCTTGCTGCTGCAGTGTAACTGTACATCTGGACCAATGTCACCTCTTCCTTCCCTTGCAGTTACGGACGAGTTTATGCTGCCGACCCCTACCACCACACACTTGCTCCAGCCCCCACCTACGGCGTTGGTGCCATGGTGAGTAGCAGCTCCTCCTTGTCCTCTGCTCTTCCTGCCTTCCTGCCTTCCTCCCTTGCCCTCCCCCCCAACCCAAGCTGGGACCTCAGTATGGGCTGATGGTTGAAGTCCTTTCACTTTCCCTTAATTGAATTTGTCTCTTGTGCTAACAGCAGCTAAAATGCCACATTAATCCTCCCAGTAAACTTGATAAATGTCTTAATTTCTTGGCAATGTAGTGCATGTAAGTTATTATATTTCTAATTTTGCAAGTCTCACCTAGCGAGCACTTACCTTAATGGAATAATTAGTCATTTTGATAATTAAATCCATCACTAACGGAATGCAGTGTCAATGCAGAACTTTTTTTTTCTTTTTTTTCCCTTCCCTCCCGTGCTGCTCATTCACATAGCCCCAAGGTTCCAGCCCCAGCACAGACTTCAGAGGAGCTAAGCTGCACACTTCCAGGCCTCTGCTGTCAGGCAGCTGAGCATCTGCCTGCCTCTCCTCCCCTTTTACAATTCATGTTTAAAGTCATAGTCGCCCAGGAGAGAAAATAGACAGAGAAAATAGACATAGACACTTATGTACAGTGTGCCTAGTACATAAGAAATTAAGGAATCAGCTGGCTTTGGGGGTTATCTTGTTCTTTTTTTCTTTTTTTCATTAGGGGGTGGGGAATCTGGGATTTTGTTTTTTTGTTTTGTTTTGTTTTTGGGAAGGGTAAGGGGGGAGGGCAAAACTGGGAGGCAAGGGAGGGGTGAATTTGCCTGTACTTGTTCAAACTTCTATGCACTAAAACTCTTGAGTCCAGTAAGACATGCCCATCGCGTGAGAGCATCCGCGATCATTACAGCGCCTTGGCATGCAGTCTTCTGCTTGAGTTGAGAATATCAGTCCTCTCCCAAAAACTCAGTCCCAGGGGATTTCATTGGAATCGCCAATAAGTGTAGCAAAAGGAAATGCATAAGTGTCACCTTATAACCATAGGAAGCTGTGGCTGGACAGTTCCCTGGACCCTGGGTCATAGAAACCCAAGCAGGATTAGAAAAGCCTACCATTGTACATAAGCTTAATCACACCTAGCAGTGACG